TATCTAGCATTCAGGTCCTCTTCCGACCTTGCCGTGATGCGACATTTATGCCTGTTCTATCGCCTCTCAAACGGCATATTAGTAGAGTCCGGAATACAAAGCTTTTACAATCAGTCTGGATGATGAATATTTTAAAGTCATTACCATTCTCTTTGGAGGAAATGATCAGATGACAGGTTGATATTGTTAGGAAAATCTGCAAGTTGTTTAAACCAATACAGCAATTAGTTAACAATATTTCGAGTTGCATTATTATTATTATTATGGATATCAGTGGTAGGCGGTTGGATATCCAATGAGACCATTGAGCCTTTAAGTTTATCACAGTTTGTATTGTGCCAGCCCCCCATTTCTGGATCCAAACGGTTAACTGATGTTGCGCTACAATTGTTTCATGTCTAAGTCTATTCCACAAAAAATTTCTTCTCAGTAACTTGTTACATCTCTCTTCTCAAGTTTCTGGTTATGACCTCTGGTATTGGTGGCGAGGAAGAAGTTAATGTCACATGCATAGTGACCCATTTAATATTTTGCAAGTTTCAAAAGGTCTCCCCTCGTTCTTCTATCTTTTAATGTAGTTGGTTAAGGCGGCTCTCGTAGGTTACTCTTTGAGTTCATTAGGTATCCTTGTAATACGGCGCTGTACTCTCCCAATCAGTTCAATGTTTTTGATGTAATATGGATTCCAGATGGCATGGGCGTATTCAAGCTTTGGTCTTACATAAGTATTGTAAAGCTTTAGAACCATTTCTTTAGATAGATTTTTGAATGAATTGGCTTTTTTTTTGTAATTTCAGTAATGTGTTGTTCCCATTTCAAGTCTGATATGATTGTTATTCCTAGGTCATTGTGGCACAAACCTTTTTTAATTGACATTTGATGGATAGGTAAGTAATCATCTTCAGGTTTATTCCGGCTGATATGTAGAACTGTGTACTTGAGGTCATTCAATGGCATTTTCCAAGACATTGTCCACTCTTTGATGGTGTACAGGTCTTCCTGGAGGTCTGCAAAATGTATAGTACTGGATTGCAGGATAGGCTTGTGTCATCTGCAAACGATTCATATTGTGTGCAGAGTATTCATCTGAGAGTGATATTCCTGTCCTAATCTGGAACGTACGTCCAGTAAGGAATTCCTCAAGAAATCGCAGTAGATCGCCCTTGACGCCAAAATGAGATAGCTTGTATAATAAGTATATTGATGTTGGTATCTTATCAAATGCTTTTTCAAATTCAAGAAAAACTATAGGGTAGGTACTTGCATGGAAAATTAAATTGATTATTGTTTATTGTACACTGTAGGATATCGAAAAAAAATCGTTACTTTTTTTTTATTTCGCCCAAATATGATTATTCCGGAAGTTATTCAAATATCAAGTTTTGTATATATACTGAGCATGTGCAACGTCACTTATTTATTAGATAAGTGACGTCATAGGCAGATTTCATAGTGTTGTATCTCCGTCAATTTTTGACTAAGAAGTAAAAGAAAAAACACGTGTTGACTTATTTTTCATGGACTATCGAAATCAGCAATAAAAAAATTTGATGCAAGGAGCCTATTGTATTATTCCCATCATCCGCCTGTGTCCTAATATAGAGCCTGGTTAGGAGATTCGTGAAAGTAGATTTTTTGGGAAGAAAACCATGTTGTTATGGTGGTACAATATGAGCTTCCAGTTCCTTAGCAATAATTTTTTCCATATACATTTACATAATGAGGCGGTGGTCAAGCTGACTGGTCTGTAGTTTTCTACAAACTTTTTGTTACCCTTTTTGAATATAAGGTCGACTTGGTAAACTGGAACAGCGGGGTGACTGGGCCATATGCCAGTTTTTGGCTTATTATTGAAATTTGAATTTCCCTTGCATCAAAATCCGTTACAAGTGTGTCTCATTTATACCGTACATGTATTAGAAGAAACGCGGCCGGATTAGTTGAGTGAGAAAAAATCGAAATTTGTTACCTTTACAAAGTGTATCGTTACAACAAGTGAGAGGAGTGTGGATTTTAATCAATGGTAAGTGATTAAAGTGAATAATTTTGCATTGAGCATGTTCAACCGTAAGAAAATAATGTTGTCAAGGTAGGCCGGGCTAGAATTTCAATTAAGAGAAATACAGTTGGGGTTCCAGTTGCCGCGGTAAAAATACCCACAGAGGCAACTGGAACTTATATGATGTGGGCAACTGGAAAATATGTTCCAGTTACCTGAAACAGTATTGTGCATTCTCGTTTGTTCTTGAGCAAATATGGTCAGGAATTAAATCCGTAAAACTTCCAATGGTGCGGACGGTGGAAGATACACTAAGGATGTCCTGAAAAAAGCAGTTGAAGATGTTCAAAACGGTAACAGAACAATGTACGGTATGGCCGTTTTCTATGACATCCCAAGATCCACAATAAGACACTTTGTATTTGGAACAAGAGAGAAAGGAATATTGTCGGTAGCAGGAAAAGGTGGTGGAGGAATATATGCACTGTCCAATGAAGTAGAAGAAGAATTGTCAACTGTGCTGAACACCATGCAAAAATGGGAATATGGATTATCAAAGGAGGAAGTGCTCGATTTAGTGCAAGCTTACGTGAAAAGACCCAATTTAAAGATGGCCGGCCAAGGGAGTAATGGCTTCTGAATTTTTGTAAAAGAAGAAATTTGTCACTAAAGAAACCTCAAGGAGTAAAAGCTGCTGGACGAAAACAAGAGAATCTCTGGACAATTTTTGGTTTCTTTGATATTAGAAAAAGCTTTTAAGGATCTTGATTTTCTGAATAAACCTGCACGCATGTTCAACTGTGACCAAAAGTCTTTTTCCAACGATCCTTCTAAAACAAAAATTCTTGGTAAAATTGGTGCCAAATGTACTCGAACTATTTCAACGTGTGGGGGAGAAAATACGACGGTTTTATTGTGCTGCTCAGCTTCGGTCCAAAAATTACCACTTCTTACGATATTCAAGGGCAAAAACATAATTGAATCTATGATTCCAGAAAAAGCAGATCCTTTAGACAAAATTGCTGTTGCTGCCTCCGACCGAGGTTGGATGACAGCTAAGATATTTTCGGGGTGGTTTAGAAAGTGCTTTCTTCCCAACATTTCACCAGAAAAACCACCCCTCCTAGTAGATGTACATGTTTCACAATATATCCTGCGAGTTAATTAAAGAAGCTATGGATAATGATATAGTTATTTTAAAATAACCCCCTACTCAACTCACATCTTGCAAAAAACTCCCTGCAAGAGTTTGAAAAAGGGCCTGATGAAAATATAATAAACGCTTCCAAAGCTACTGGCATATAATAATGAATTGGGGGGCCCAGATCGGAAACAAATTTCGACTGAGATTTTTTTACATTCTGATTTGGCAAAATATTAGAACAGGGACAAAAAGTCTGCCCCAAAGGATAAAGATAACGTAAATGATCTTGGTATTGCTATAGCAAGAGCAAGTCCTACGCCTATGTTTTTAACTTCAAGTAATCGTAGAGCAGACACTAATAACAATGAAGGTATTCCAAACTCTACTTCTGGTCAGACTGTTAATTACACTGAACCCAAGCGAGAATCATCCCATCAAATTGAACCAATGCCAGAGTGCCTTCCGATAACATCGAACCAATTCCAGGGCCTTCCAACACACCAACTTCTTTCCAAGAGATTTTGGTGAGTCTGTTAGAAAACAGTTAAAAGCAAAATGAGAGTTTACAGCCAAGGAGAAAAAGAATTTGTACCAGCACAAAAACTCTCACAACCGAAGATTATTTTAAACGCAAAGAAAAGGAGGAAGAATAAAGAAGACTGAAGGAAAGTAAGAAAAAAAAAGATAAATACCAAAGAAAGCGTAAAAGTGAAAAAGGAGAATCACGTTTTTAAAGAAAAATCCAAAATCGAAACTAAATTCAATAAAAGAAAAGAAAGATCCTCTTCAGAAAGTAGTGAGTCATCATCAAATACATGTTTGGAAAAAAAATCAGAGGAAAACTATGTTGACGAATAGTTCGATCTGATTGACGATGAGTTTCCATCTTTAGAAGATGGAGAAAGTTTAGATGAAAACAGTGCTGCATTAGAATTGGAGGAAATCGAAAAAGCACCAGAGTTACGTGAAAAAAATAGATCGCAAGAGATACAAACAGCAACAGTTTCAGTTGCCTCAAAATTAGGGTAACTGGAACAGTTGACTAAAAAAAATTAAAAAATCTGTAAATCTGTGTAGCACATTCCTGTTTTTGCACAATATTAGCTAACCCTTCAAAGTAGTTTACCACAATTTTTCAAAATAATTCCTCCTTTGCAAATATATTTTTCCAGACCGTTGTAAAATTGCGTTCCAGTTAACCAAGTCGACCTTCGGTATAACAACTGCTTTTTTCCAAGGTTGTGGAAAATCTTCTGTGGATATTATGTCATTCATAATTGCTGCCAGAGGACCCCTTAGAGTGCGCAAACAATTTTTAAGAAATATAGGAGAAATCTCATCAAGTCCCTAAGGGGAACTGGAAGTGCTGGGATGAGTTTGGTAAATACACTCTGGAATTGCTGTGCAAAACACTCTGCAACCTCCTGGTCAGATTCAAATGGGACTAGAGTTGCTTTGTCATTAATACTGAAGTAAGTGTGTTAGGAGTTAAAATTAGAGTTAACATAGGAAAAGGACTGTTTGGTGTTGTTCAACAGATTTTGTTCATATTGTTTTCTTAGAGCAAAGTTTGGTGAAAGCGTAGTTTTGGAAGAAGAGTCTAGAGCACCCATCAACAAAGTACAAATCGCCCGTATTTTATTACGGTTGGGTATCTCAGAAAGAAACTTAACATTTCTGTTAAATATTCAGTCGACTAATGCAACTTTGCGCCAAGTGTCCAGTCTTTCAAAGTCTGGAAACAATTTACAGTTCCAGCCAGAATCTTTAAAATTAAAAAAACCGAAACGTCAACTGTTGGAATCCAATAATTAAAAACAAAAAAACATAAATAAATTCCGTTCTTACTCTTCTTACCTCCGATGTCTTCGTCCCCGGTTTCGTCCTTTTAATCTTCATTTTCAGACCCTTATCCGTCGTCGCCGAGTGCTCAATGTGCATCTTAGCCGTAGCTGCGGTCTTCGATGCCTGAGGACCGGTGCCAGCGTTGGCAGCCATGTTTCCAGCGATGCTAGCGCTGCCAGTGCCCGATGACGCGCTGTTGCTACTTATCGGCTGTTGTTGTTCGTTCGTTTTCTCTATATCCGCGTCTAAATCTATGATTAGGTCACCAATACCTGAAATTAATTATATAGGAATTTAATTTTATATTCGGTAGTTTTCTAGACTTTGTCTAGGAAATAATTCATCAAAGTATTGATTCATACTCAGTACTGTAATGAACATTTTATTTCAAGCTATATCATAAAACAGTATTTTCTTATTTAAACCGTGTTTCCAGACAAAAAGTTATTTGTTTCCTATCAGTGTTAATTGGTACCTACAATAATTAATAATTATTATATGATTGATGTTAATTATTGATGTAATAATAGTTGTTTACATTAAAAGTGATTCAATGACCATGATTACCTTGCAAGCACAAATTGTGTTAAAAATCCGATACATTTTAGAAAGTTAACGTAACATTTAAAAGATTTTTATAATCAAATGGTTGTAGATAAAACTTTGTTCATTGATAAAAGATTCTTCGTGTAATCGTGGTCAAAAGAATTAAAATTCAAACCTAATTTGCACACATTTACATTAATAGTAATGCTTACCAAAAGAGACAATAATCTAAAACTAATATCACAATTCTTTTTATCACAGAACCGTAATTGCACTATTTTACTATAGTTAGGAAAATATCACAGCCATCAACCAGACTCGCCCCTCTCGGTTTCACATGGTAAACTAAACTGGTTTAAAGACCCTTTTGTCCCTTCTAGCCCCCTCCTCAAGGCATCCTTCACCTTTTTCTAAATTGTATACAGCATCAGGTAAAATCTGTCATCATTAAATAGAGGGTCCACTGCCATAAAAATGTTGTTTGTCTTTATGGTGAAGACATTAATTAAATTTTGACCTTTAAGGCATATTAATTAGAAAGAGTTTGAATATTTTACTTGTCGTAGATTGTAATACATTACTGACTACACCGAAGGTTATCGAGAATGTAGTAAACGTGGTCGAAGTAATTATTTGGAATTTCGACGTGCGGTTTACATTAATTGCAAATTTGCATGGGCTTTTGTAATGGTCAAACATTGGAATTAGAATATTATGTAATTATATTGCGCAAATATTATAATAGCATCAGTATATGAAGGCCTGTTCGTGTTCTTGAATGAATAGCTGGAAGGAAGGATTTCTTCTATTAGACTTTGTAGAAAGAAAATTGATTGAGAAAGCTTCTCTTGTTCGACATTTGTTACTTGTTTTATTAGTCTTCAAAATGGATATTTTGCTAGATTGATTTAAAATCAATATTTTGCCATTTACACATTTATAACCCACAGCAAAAATTATTCAAATAACCGTAATGCAGCTGAAGGTTTTTTTGAATGTATTCTTATTGTGTGGGGATGTTCGATAGTGCTATAATAACTCTTTCTTTTATAGCCTGCTTGTTCTTTAGGTTGGTAATCATCGAATTTCCTTTCTATAGGTGGTTGGTGATTATTCTCATAAAGAGTTTGTATATCTGAGACAGAAGGCTTATGGGTCTATAGTTTTTAAGATCTGACGGGGTCTCCTTTTTTGTATATCAGAAGATAATGGCAAAGTCTATTGGCATTCTCTCAGTCGTGTGGTATTTTCCCCTCTGTCATTTATTGAAAAGTGTTTTCAGTTGTTTTATAAGGTATTCATTCTCCTGCCTCCTTCAGGATTTCTATTAGTATGTCGTCTATTCCGGGGACTTTGCGTTGTTCAATTGGCTTAGCGCTTTTGCAATTTCTCTTCCTTTTATATCAGGGATCTCTTCTGATCCAACATTTAAAATTTTGGATGTTTCGCATGGTTTTTTGTTTGTTATTTTCGTTGATGCTTTTTACGTCGTATAGTTTTCCGTCACACGCAATAAAGCTTCTCTGTCTTCTATAATGTTTCCTTGTTTGTCCATCGGCTTTTTAATTTCCCTTTTGTGCGTTCTCCCTTTTGAAAACGTTCAATCCTATTTGTTTTTCTAGCAGTTTTTCGATTTGCTCTTCTTGGTAGTTTCTAATGGGTCCTATGATTGAACGTTCACGTTATCCGTAACGTATATGTTAGGCCGAGTTTTAACAGTAATGATGCAAGTTCGTATGATGGAAAGTTTTTCATACCAGATTACTGTTATTTCCCGCCTGTTATGTTCTAATTTAACATATCTCCTCAACAGCTCCAAATAACATGCCGTTAAGTGCTTAACGTACGATCGTCACCAAAAGTAACTGGGACAGCATCACATTAGCTCTTGTCCTATTATATAAATTTTATTGTCAAATATTTGTCAAACTATAATTTAAATGCATTGAAATGAATGACAGTAGAATTAGTCCAGGAGATTATTATGCATTATTTGTGTCCCAGATACTTTTGGTGACGATGGTACATGTTACCAATGTTTTTTTATTTTATTTTTTGAATGACGGGGTAATTAATTCACATAATACAAGAAGAGAATCAAACTAGGAGGTACCTAGGTTATAAGATTCATTACTATTTTATGTTAATCAATTATGAGGTACAAAACTTTAATATTAATTCACTATTTGAGGAGTGAATTGGACACTCAAAGAAGGCATACCAGGGGTCAACTCCTGAAAAGTTTTTATTACTAAATATACTAGACTTCCAAAAGTTCCAAAAGAATCGGTGCAGTATTATAATTGCTTCATTTCAATATTCCTCATACCCTTTGGTTTCATGATATATATTTTTTTTTGTTTCTTTTACGGCCAAATTATGGACTGACTGGTAAGCGTCTGGTTGTTACCTAGCAGGTACTTCCTATGCTCTAGATAATAGAAAGTACCTGCTAGGTAACAACCAGGCACTAACCAGTTGGTCCATAATTTGGCCCTTATTGTTTTTGTTAATTTGTACTTTTTGATTGCTCCCTGTAACTACAGTTAAAGAAGCCAGAAAATTCGACTGTTTTCAAGATGAACAGAATTACGAAAATGCGAGCGTGTTAGAGAAAGACGCACATAACTATAAAAGCCCCGGTGCGCACCGCGTAAGGATCAGTTCTGATTGACGTACGACAAGTGCAGTAAACTGTAAAGTCAGGAACTAAATAATCACGTTCGAAAATAATCGTGCCGTATAAGCTTTATTTGGAGTAGTTCGGAGTGTAAAGTAAAAGTAGTGTTAAATTTCGTGTGATTTTTATGTTATTGTGTTTAATAAAATTCGTTAAAGTTCGAAAAAGTAGTCTCACCTATTTGCGAACCCGTATAAGTCACAATTGGTGTCAAAAGTGGGATAAGTGAGTGAAAAAAATTTGCATTTATGGTAAATACGAGAAAACAGACTGCCGAAATGGAAGAAAAGCTAAACCAGGTGCTCGCTTTGTTGACACTTGCGGACGAGAAGAGAGCAAAAGAAAAACAAGAAGAACAGGACCGACTACAGAAAATCCTTCAAGAACAAGAAGACAGGCGACTTAAAGAAAAACAGGAAAAAGAGGACAAGTAACAGCAAAAGTAAGACCGGCACCAGAAAATTCTGCAAGAACAGGAAGACAGAAGACAGAGGGATATTGACAGGATCGCTGGGTTGTTCCAGAACATCCAACAAGATGTCAAAGGCGAAATAGAAACGGTTCGAGAAGAAGTCGAAGGCGAAATGGGGACGATCCGAGAGGAATTCAAGAAAAAATATAGAAAACTGGAGATGAAAATGGAGAAAATTCGTGAAGAACCCAATATCAACGAAAGTGCCAACAAAATGGATGTATCGGTGAGCCCAATAATCGTACGCGGCCAACTCAAACCACCAACTTTTGACGGCAAAACATAATGATCCATGTGTAAACGACAGTTTGAGGCCGATGCTAGTGCAATTGGTTGGGATGACCAGCAAAAAGCAACATCATTGGTAATTGCACTACGAGGAAAGGCGTTTGAAATTCTTCAAAATATTCCCGAGGCAAAACAAAGTGATTATGCAGCTGTTGTACGAGCCTTAGATGAGGTACGGAAACAGGTCAAGTCTACCAGAGTCAACTCAAAAGCAGAGGCCAAGGTCCATCTGAGATACTGCAGGAATTTAGTAGCGACATCGAGAGAATGGTGACATTGGCGTATCCACAGCACAAGACTTCATTGAACAGATAAATGTCCAGTACTTTATCGATGGAGTAAAAGATACAGACCTGCAACAAGCACTGAAAATCAGTAGGCATAACACCTTAGCTGACACCGTTGTCCATGCATTGGAATATGAAGCTGCCAAAAATGCCGCTTTAAATCGAAGAAGCAAGCTCAGGGAAGTGAAGATAGCAGAGGATCGCCCAAACCCAGACGCAGATATGTTCCTAAAACTGGAGGCGCTGTTTCAGGAATTCTGCGCGAAGTTAGACCAAAAACCAAGAGCCAGAAAACAGATCAAATGCTACAACTGCGGCCGAGAAGGACATATTAGCAGAAACTGTAGGCGACGTTCCCGCTCAGGAGATCGTGAAGCGGAGGAAGAAGGTGGTTCCAGATTCCAGACATCATCAGGAAAACGCCACCTCGCCAGTGTAAGGGGGCGAATGCTGGCGACCACCAATTCTCGAGCCCCCAAAGTAAGGGTGTTCTCCATCAAGAAGAATTGTGAAAGTCTCGTTGCCCAAGGCACCCTCAACGGCAAGAAATGTGATTTGACCATCGGCACAGGGGCATCAAGATCAGTGGTTCGCCCCGACAAGGTTTCTAAGGACTCTGTAATGATGTTGAGAAATAAACCACTGCTAGAAACACCTAACGGAGATTTGATAAATGTTTTTGGATTGACCACCGTGACATTGGGAATAGGCAGCACCGAACTTAAGGTAGAAATGATAGTTGCTGACATAGTAGATGAATTTATATTGGGAGTGGATGTCTTAGAAACCTTTGATTTCCTATAAGTGGACTTTAAAAATGAAATGTTGAGAGTGGGCAACGAAGAAATACTCTTCTCATCACCGTGAAATAAAGACTGTCAAATTAGAATAATCGTTGATGAAGATACACGAATTCCTGGAAATAGTGAGTCGAATGTGCGGGCACACCTAGAAAAACAGCTAGAAAGCGTGAACACCATGATCGTGGAACCAACAGGA